TTCTGCACATATCTTTGAGCACAGCTTTCGATCATTTTCTTGGGATGAATTTCAAGCAAATGGAGTTCAGAGTCCCAACATTCTGAATCCTTGCGCATCTGCAGCAAATGGCCTCCTACAGAGGTTTGCCATTTCACAGTGTGGCCAGCTGTGTGAGAGAGGTCCGAGGCCACAGCTGCCAGGGCTCGTGTTTGTAAAATGCTCCTCAGATGGGCCCCAAATGCCATCTCTGCATCTTCATTTACACTGATTTTGTTATGTGTAAGTTCAACATTTGCAACCGAACTTGCCCTTTGAACTAGATCTTTCATAAATGGACTCTTCACGCTTTTTATTATGCCGACATTTTGTTATGAAAATCCTTTCTGCCTCTGTGAATGTTTTATTTATGAGAGTTTTTGACACACATTCCCTCCAGTCAATTATATTTGTATTTCCCAGTGTAGTTCTCTCTGACTGTGACAGTTAGAGCGGCCTCCCGCACCACTCTTAGGCATATGAACGTTTCCACTTTGGGTGGTTTTTAATGTGCTTCCTGTTTTTGCATTTAAACCGCCTGACATTGATTTAGGTACCTGGTATAAAGGGAAATAAAAAGTGTAGGTATTTTGTTTCCCAAGTAGAGAAAATAATTGCATAGCTTCGCTTAGTGACGCATCTTTCCATTGCTCATTAGTTTGTGGAATGTCTGCACCATACATCACAGAGTTAGACACTTTCGGATCGGCTCTGGACTTCCTAGTCTGTTCTATGGAGACGGCTTCCTCTTTCTTTTTTTGAAAAAAAAAATATCTCTTTTACTTTATGTCATAGTATCTGTTTGCATTTAAAACTCTGAATTCTCCATTTCTTATCCGGTCAGTTGCTGCTGAGTCCTGTTTCACATCTAATTTCCGACTTGGTATCTCACCGTATATTTTTCCCAGCGTCACTTTTTCACACAAAGACATATTTTTCTAGCTCCCTCTTGGAAGGACAGGTCATGTCTCGTTGTATTCCACAGAGCTAGGCCAGTGGTGGGCCCAGCACTGAAGTCACAGTCGGGGCCAGGAGACACAGATGTGAGTCTGTCCCTGGCAGCTGGGTGCAGTGGTGGGCCACCCCACAACACATCACCTGCTGATCTGGAAACCGGGGTTGTGAGGTCCATGGGAGGCAAAGGATTTCAGACAGTCTCGTTCTTCACGTAGCCCGTCCATGCGGCTGCAGGAAGATGAGAGTAGGCAGACTGAGAAGGTCTCTGCAGAAGTAATTCCCAGCCTGTGAGGGAGAACCCGTTCCTTCAGAGGGGGAGGGGGTCTGCCAACGATGAGGTGGCGAGGGCCCACGGGACCTGGAGCCACACTGGGGAAGAAAAATGGGCAAGTGGCTATGGGGTGTGGGGGGCTCTCTTCAGGAACACTGAGGCTGAAACAAACTGGTTGAGAAGTAGGTGTCTGGGAGCACATTTGAGGAATCCACAGAGACATTGCCAAGCTGGGAGGAACTGAAGGATTTCTCAGGGCAGGAGGAGCGGGTGCTGGGGTCCCCAGAAGGGGCAGATGTGCATATTGGGGAACCCGGAAGGCGGAGGGGGGATGGGACTTTGTCCTAGGTGCAAGTGAGAGGTCACTGGAGGATGGACAGATCCCATGTGCTCCCGAGTGCTGGAGCAGGAGGAGGAAAGTGGGAGGCTACTGTGTCAGGATCGGAGGTTGTGGGAAGGGACATCCCAGGATGGCTCTAGAGACTGGATTGCCAGGACTGGCTGGGACTGAGGAAGGAACAGTCAGCTGGCCTCTGACGACCATAGGACTAACCCGCATCCCTTCCACCCAGCTGCCACCTCTCTGCCCTGTCTCCCTGTCACACAGTTGTCACAGCATCTCTGTGACAAAAAGAATCTATCTGAACCTCCATTTCAGACACTGGAGTTGAGACAGACAATAATTATTCTGCCCCTACCGCGACAGCTGCCTGTTGCTAGGCGCCCAGAGCTACGAAGAGCGATAAGATGCGACCCCAGCCACCAGACAAGAAGAAGCCACAGCTAATTAAGGCTGCAGTTAGGACCCACAGGGCAGATGAAGGCTCCCTGAGAACATGGAGATCAGGTTCCCTGCACAAAGGAACATGAGTGCAGTTTGCTCTTTCTACCAACACAACTAATCCCCTCACCTCAACACTTAATCCCACTGCTCTGGGGCCCTCTGTGTCTGCCCCGACTCTGCAGGCGGGCTGGCCCAGCCTTCCCCTGTCCTGGTGTGGCCGGGGAGCAGGGGTGCCTTCCTGGTGCTGGAGCCCCTGCAGACCCCTTCTCCCTCCTCACAGCCACATTAGAGGTCGACTGTCCCCCACCTGGGGGACTTCTGCCCTGTCCTCAGAGCTGTGCGGCAAAGGTCTCCAAAGCCATGTCATATTCTCCTCTCAGTGCTGGGCATATGGCCCATCAGTGGCCACTCATCCTTCTAGAAATTCTTCCCTGGCTTCTGGGACCCTACCTTTCCCTTCCTCTCAGGCTCCCCTTCCATGTCCTGTATATCTGCCAACACCATGGACTCCAGCTTTCTACTGCTGGGTGTCATTTCCTTCAGCCCCGTGAGGCACTAAAGCTTTGTTCACTTCCAAGAGGTGGCTTCCCCCAAACAGGGCTGAGTGCTGGACCACCACCTGTCCGTTTCCAGATCTAAACTCTCCCCTGAGCACTAGAATTTGATAGCAATTCCCTTAGACATTTCAATATGGCTACGTAGGCATCCCAACACCAACCAGACATCTCAGCACTATCATCTAGTTATCCCAGCATCATCACCTATATATCTCAACTCCACTCAGATATCCCAATACCACATAAACATCCCAACATCTCCCAGACATCCAATACCACCACTATCTTGATATGCAACATTTTCCAGACATTTCAACACCACAAAGACATCTGTATATCTCTCAGACATCACAATATCACCATCTAGGTATTCCTATATCTACTACCCAGACATCTGGACATTACCACCCCAACATCCAAAACATACCAGCACCATCCAGATTTCACAACACTACCTACACATCCCAAACATCACCCAGACAGCCCAACACTCCCTACACATACCAGCATCCCTCCAGCTAAACTCCATTCATTTTTTAAAATGTATTTGTGTGTATGACCAATGAGGGTTTTTTTTTTTTTTTTTGGTTGTCCAGGCTGGCCTCGAATTCACAGAGATCCGCCTGCCTCTGCCTCCCGAGTGCTGGGATTAAAGGCGTGCGCCACCACCGCCCGGCTGACCAATGAGTTTTTATGTGCACCACATGTATGCTGGGTGTCCACAGAAGCCAGAGGGACTCAGATCTCCTGGAGCTGGAATTACAGACAGTTTCGAGCCATCACAGATGTGGGTGCTGGGAACCCAACTCGGCTCCTCTGCAAGAGTAGCAAGTGCTTTTAGCTGCTGAGGCATCCCTTTAGTCCTGTCCTTTTCCCAGTGGCTTGTCTCTCCATTCAAATTTCTAACCTGTCCTTGCCCAGTCTGATCTTGCTGGTATTCTGCCTTGAGGGACAGTTCCAGCACTCTGGTGGGAGGTACTGAGTCTCTTCTTGGCTCTCCTGCTGCACGACTGTGTGAGGACACATGGCCATACTGACCCCACTCCATCACCAATAGCTCCATCGAAGCTGTCACCACCCTCTGACCCTCTGCAACTGCCTGCTCATTGGTCTGCTCAGATTGCTTCTTTCTCCACTCTGACCCAACCGCTCCTGGAGCAGCCAATGTTCTTTCCGAAAGGCGCACATTTTAATACCCACCTCTCTTCATGCCCTTCAGCAGCAGCCTTCAGGGGAAGAACAAATGGGCTTCTCCAGCCTTCGAGCACCATCTCTATGCCAGCATGGCTCCCACCTAGGTTATTCCTCCTTGGATCTGGGAAATGGGGGCCATGCTCTATGTCCTTCACGGAGCAGTGAGCCTAGTTCTCCTCGGTGGTGAATCATGATTGATAATGCCCACCTCTTTTGATAGTGACTGGTTTATGAGTAACAGGTGACACAAATCTCCTTAGTGAAAAGTAACTCTATGTGGGGCTGGAGAGGTGGCTCAGTGGTTAGGAAGACTTGCTGTTCACCTAGAGGATCTGGGTTCAGTTCCCAGCACCATATCTGGTAGCTCACAATTGCCTTTCTGCGCCTGCACATGTGTGCGTGAGCACACGCACGCATGCATGCATGCATGCATGCACACATGCGCATGTGCAAATAAGTATTTTTAAATGAAATTTAGAAAGTAACTCTGAGGGCCAGAGAGATGGTTCAGCAGTTAAGAACAACACTGGTTTCTTTTCCAGAGGACCCAGGTTCAATTCCCAGCCCCCACATAGCAGCTCACAACTGTCTGCAACTCCAGTTCCAGGGGATCTGACACCCTCACACAGACATACATGCAGGCAAAACCCCAATGCACATGAAATAAAAATAAAAATAAAATAAATAAAAAAGTAACTGTGTGTTTGTATGTATGTGTCTGTCTGTCTTCTGTGAAACGTCTCTTACTCCCTTAGAAGAGTCATAAGGAAGTGGATGTAATACCTGGAGTGACTGCAGTCATGTTGTGACCTGGGGGTCAGGGATCCATAGCTTGAGGTTTAGAGAAATAAAAGACCAACAGTACACAGGTCCTTGATGACATTAAAGCTGCCCAGGAGTTCTCACTGTGTGATAATCAATCTATTATTATTTCAATGTTTCTGAGTCAGGTTGTCCGACACCTGTCCCCCACTTGGCTTGGTGGCCCCACCCAGGCAGCGAGCAGGTGATATTGCACTGTACACCCGCCCTCTGTACTGGTCATAGAGCTTAGACCACAGGCCCCTGACTCAGTCCCCCAAGGTTCTGTAGGAGGGACGGTCACTGTACTGCAAAGGCTTCACCTGAAACTCACTAACAGAAGGAATCATCCAAGAGCAGGATGGGGCCGAGGGTTCCAGAGACGACAACGTGCCCGGCGTGACTGACAGGTGGAAGATACCACACTTGAAGTCTGAAAAGGTCAGAGGAGGGTGTGGTCTTTTAGAATGTGGAGAGAAAGGTGGGGACTTCAAGAGAGCCACCTCACCACGACCATAAGCCAGGTGGTGCAGTCTTCTCACAACCACAGGAAGAGAGCCAGGGATCCTGCTCTACTGTCCCTGACATCTCCTGCTGTGTCCTCCCCGGGACACAACGGAAGCCAGAGGGCAAGGGGGAGCCTGATGGCCTCAATGTCGGCTCTCTAGGGCCCCGCAAGGCTGCAGAAGGGCACAGTGCGGCTTCGGTTAGTGATTATCCCAAACAGGCATAATGGCTGGCTCCCTGCTCACTTCAGCACACCTGTTTCCTTTTAAAAAGAAAATTCCAGCCACAGGGCAGATTGGGAGTGCATGAGTCTCAATACCCCTAATCAGGGCCAGAAAGGGCACCACAAGAACCCCGCTGTGCTTCCTTCCTCCCATCAGCCATCGGCCCTCTGCAATCAGACCCTCTCACTTCATCTCAGCCTGGTTCAGAGGATGGATGCCTGATGACTTCCAGATCTTACTTCTTGTCATCCTCTCCCTCTCTGCTGGTGCCTCTTTCAATTCTAGGGGCACTCCTGTTTTTAGAAACCCTTGATCACCCCTATTTTTCTCACTACCACCTGACTGTTCTGCCCATTTACTCCATTGCCTCTGATAAGCCAGCTTTTAGCCCTCACCCCTCAAAACAGTTCTTGCCACAATAGCCCCTTGATTGCTGAATTCAAAGGACTTTGTTTGCTTCTTACTTTTCTGAGATCCAGGCATATAGCTGTGTTGATTACTTTCTCCTTGAAACCCTTCACTACCTTGGTTGCCATGGCAACCCCCTCTCCTAGTTGTTCCTCACATCACTCAGGCCCTTCCTCTCTTTCTTCTTTGTCTCCTGTCCACACCTCCATCAGCTCCTGAAGTGTCTCTAGCTCTTGATTTCCCCCATTAGGTGCTTTTCCGCCCTCTCCCTGGTGAGCCCACTCATTCCCCAGTTTCTCTCCTTTCAACCTCCATCCTTGGGTTGGTCCTTTCTAGAACCCAGGAGGGACGCTATGCCTGCTGGCCACCTAGCCGTGCCCCTGTCCCAGCTCTGCCTGACACTGAGCGCACTAGTGCCTTCCTCAGTTGACTCACGTTCTGGACCCCAGCTCCAGCACTCTTCACTGTCCACCAACAGGACATTGAGAGGAGAATCACTATCAGCCCTCTTAACACAACAGTCAACACTTGGGGTACATTGCTGACTTTATTCTCTGAATTGGTCCTCTTACCTAGAGACTGTCATCTTCAAATGTGGTGTTCCCATCTGCCACCACAGTGATCTTCCAAAATCACAGACCCGTCACTATGGAGTGAAACCCTTCACGGGCCCACTGACTGTAGGATAGTGACCAGATGTCTTCACATGGTGCCATGAAGCCCTCAAGTACCTGGGCTCTGCCCTTTTAGTCCCACACATTTCACTTTCTCTTCTTCCCACTTTCCAGAACCATGGTAGTCTCCCAAGTTCTCTTGTTCCTCTGCCTACAGTGTCCTTCCAGTCCCTTTACCTTATACCTATCTGCAATGTTCTAACCTCTTCTGGAATGTTCTGTGCCATACAAACATTCTACTGTTGCAGTTCCCATATCGTATTGTAATGGTCTACTTGGGTGCTGTGCAGTGTAGTGCTATTTTATATATTACTTGATGGTCAGCCTGCTCCTTGTAATTTTTTTTTTTTTTTTTTGGTTCTGTTTTTGTATGTACTAAGCTACCCCAAACTCCCACAGCATGGAGGTGTAACTTCTGTCTCAAGGCTCCGGGGCTTCCACAGCTGAGCAGAGGCAGTGGTAACGACACAGCAGCAGGGCTGCGGTCCTCTTAAGGCTTGAGAGCGCTTCGTGCTCCAGAGGCTCAGCAGGACCAGGCACATCTGCGTTCCCTCCGCATGGCTGCACCGTGGTCTGACGTCTCACAGCACACAGCTCCCCTGCACCAGGTGGGCTCCAAAATCAAGCTGCTTCTTCTGGCCCCGTGTCACCAACCCCAGGACATTCTTTCTGCCACACTGTGTTGGCCAAAAAGGCCACTAAGACCAGCCTAATTCAGCAAGGAGAGTCATTTTCTCGATGGTGGATGTATGCACATATAAGGTGGGCAGGGGAGACAGTGGTCACCTCTACAGACTGGACAGTGAGGTCTGACACTCGCTCCTGACTTGAGCAGACCTTGGGAGAGGACATGGGTGTCACAGGAATGCCCAAGTCTTTTGAAACCCACAGCAGGGAAGGCATCTGGTTAGTGGATGGGCGTTAGGAGGAAATCAAAGGCACCGGAGCCATGGAGATGCTCAGTCAGCAAGGTGCATTCTGCAGACTTGAAGGCCTGAGCTGGATCCCCAGCGCCCACCTCAAAGGTTGGGCAAGGTAGCACTGGTTTGTAATTCCAGTGCCGGGGAGGTGGAGACAGGTAGATCCTGCTGGCTCACTAGCCAGTTGGCCTCACCTAATTGGTGAGCTCTGGGTCTCAATGAGACTCTATCAAAAACCAAGGTGGGTGGCTCCTGAAGAATGCTACCTCAGGTTAATCCAATTAATTTTAAAAGGGAAGCACACAGGCAACCTCTTTCTGCCTAAATGGAAATGTTTGAACCAGTGGGACAGGAATCCTACAGAGACATGAGGAACTTATGTAGCTCTTCTCAGGGAAGGACCAACAGATGACGACCAAAGGCTCCTAGCATGGACTGGTGAGACCAAGGGCCCTGACAGAAGATGGTGAGGGGATGGATGTTCTCCCAGCAAGTAAGCAATCAGAAGGGTAGTGGGTGAGGGCTGCCTATGGTCAGGATGAGGATTTAGCAGGGATGCCTCAGTTCAGGGGAACAGTAGTCACTGGTGGAGGTAACTTCGCCAGGTGTGTATGCTCACGGATGAGCCGATGGGCCGTGGGGACAAAGGCAGGTGTGGTGGGAAGGAACTGGAAGTGGAAGGAGGATATTTGGGGCAACTCTGGATGTTTTCTTGGAAGCAGCTAAGTATTGGTGAAATTATTAAGGCCACTCCACGTAGTTAAAAGGGAGGTTTATTTTGTGGGGTAACTTACAAGTGAAGGGATAGGTAACAGGGTCTGGGAAAGGTGTAGCGCAGTCCAGCGGTGTTCTCTGGAGAACTCTGCTCGGTCTACCTCCAGTGTCCAGGGTCCAGGAACCAAGAGAGCGGCGCATCCGGATCTCGGGTCTTCAGGGTCCTCTCTCGGCCCGCCTTGTAGGAGTGACAGCTACCGAAGCCTCAGTGGGGGTTGGGACTTCCAGGTCAGAGCTGGGATGGCTACCCACTACAGCTAAGTGTGTGCTCTGGAGCAGAAAGGGGCAGAGGTGGGTGGTGAACTTGAAGAAGGCAGCATGCTTTGGGGAGGCTCCATCTTCTGCCTTCCATCCTCCCTCTGTGCAGCCGGCTCTGGGCCTCCACCTCTTCTCCATCCACCCTGGGATTCATCGTCTATTATGTAGCCTGCCTTTACTGACCATCACTGACAGCCAGGGGTGGGTCCTGATTTGAGCTGCTTCCTGGGAGCACTGGCTCCGAACTGTGGGACTCATACCTGCTTGGTGCCATCCCTGAGTTGAGCATTTTTTCAGGCAGTCTCTTTGGACCTGTGACATGCTGAGGTGGGCACTGCTATGGGTTCACAGGGGGGACTGCTGAAGGGCATGGTCAGAGGGCACAGTGAGAGGACCCTGTATAGACTGTTAGACTCCTGCACTCCCAAGTCCATGCCCCCCCCCTTTTTTTTAAAGGAGTCTCACTATGGAACCCACATTGGTCTCCAGCTCACAATCATCCTGCCTTAGTCTCCCAAGCATTGGGATCACCATGGTGCCTTTAAGGTCATGATGTTGAGAGACGTGAAACACTGGTACCCACCAAATCCATCATTGTCATGAAGGGCGAAGCAGAAAGCCTGAGGAAGAGGGCTGGCCAGCAGGGACATGAGGGGGAAACCTCCAGATTCTCACCCAGTGAATGACTCCACTCTTTAAGGCTGCCCCCCACCCCACCCCCAGTTGTAAAACTTCCTGTTAGGAAGGTGCTTTCGACAGAACATAATATCACATCTAAGAGGAGCTAACAGCAAGAGCATTTCTTCAAGTGTGAACAATTCAGAAGTCAGTGGTTGCAGGTAGGCTGGCTCAGAGTCAGCAGTCTCGTTCCCTCCTGATCACAGGATGGCTGCCAGAGTTCCAAGTTTCATGTTTGCACCCAGCAGCACCTAGACAGAAAGGGAAGGGGAAGGCCAGGAAAGGCGCCAGCACATCTCTGGCGAGGGAGCGAAGCAGCGGGGCCCTGAAGCTGCCCTTCTAAGTCCCATGCCACTGAAAGGGGTTCACAGGTCTCACGACTGCAGCTGCTGTCCCCCCTTTCTTATCTGTAGGGCTTCTATGTCCCACTGACAGACTAAGCTTGGGGCTTTGGAAACCACTCCTGACAGCCCCACGCCCACACACGGTTTACAGTTCTATCTGTGATCTCTGACTGGTACGGATGGGAGCTAGCCGCCCCTTCCTTCCTCGTTCCTCCAGGTGTCCACAGCTGCTCAGTCTTCCCGCCGTCCCCCACTGCCACATCAGGACGTGTGGCAATCCTGTCACCCCATTCTGCAGCCTTAATAACAGTCCCTCAGTGTAAAAACTGAGTGTGGACACAGTTCTCTGTTTCCCGTGGGTGCGCAGGTACATTTACAAGTTTTTAGAAAAGTCCACACCAAGCCATCACGGTGGCTGCCCCTGGGGAAGAGGAAGGGAATGGGATGGAAGCAGGTGGCCAGAAGGGACTCCGGCTCTAGCAGCGGTGCTCTGGTTCTTAAAAAGGAGGATGTATTCATGTTCGCTTGTGTCATTAAACTTTAATTTGAAAAAATTCCCATTCATTTTCAGCCAATTATGCTGGCTCTGTGCTCGGCTGTGCTTGCGTGTTTGTGCCCAGGGAGGAAGAACATTTACTTTGTGTGTGTCTGTGAATGAAGTGCAGCCATTAGAAAGGAGATTAAAAAGAAATGTAGCAAACAAAAGCCAAACAAAACAGGGGAGGCGGCAGTGAAGACTCATTCACAACACTAATGGAAATCAAAGAAAGAAACCCGAGAGGAAAGCCACAAGTTTCTCAGGAGAAAGCTGGGTGTGTGGAAGACATGATGGACAAACAGAGTTCTGCCTCGTCCCTGCAGTGAACGGCACAGCATTGTACTGATGTCAGTTTCCCCCGATTAATCTCGGCATTCACAGTATTTGACAAGCGGCTTTTAAAATCCGTGTGGAGGAGTGAACTAAGACAGCTGTAAGGGAGTACGGTGAAATGTGGCATTTTACTTAACAGATATCAAAAGGTGGTAAAAAGCAATGGCAAATTAAAGTCTTGTGCTGACAGGAATAAACAGATTAGTTAAAAAAAAATAACCCCCCCCCCAAAAAAAATCACAGGGGCCCCCGCAGCCCCCTAGCAATGGGGCCTCCTCAGTCTAGAGGAAGCATCCCATCAGAGCGGCAGAGAAAGGATGAACAAGCCGATCATTCTATTGTGTTCCGATAATTGGCTGTCCATTTTGAGAAAGGTTAGATGCTGTCTCAATCCAATCAGAAATACATTCCAGATACAAGAAAGAGCCAAGAACAAAAACTGTGAAACCATTAGAAAAGAATAAAAGGTCCATTTAAACCAAACATGATATATATTCAAAAAGGAATAAAGGCGACTGAGGAAATGCATTAGATCGAAATTGGTAACTTCTGTCTAACACAGGAGTTTACAAAGAGCTGAAAGCCAGAAAAAAATATTTGTCCAAAATGCACAAAAGCTTACTATCCAGATTACATCAGGACATTGTACAGGTCAATGAAGAGCTTAATGCAAAAACAGGCAGTTCAGAGCGGCAGGAATAATAAAAATGCCCAATGTACACGCGAAAACCTCACTGGCAAACAGGAAAATACAAATTTAAAAAGGGATTTAACTTTTTCACCCATCCGATCGGCAAACACTGACAACTGCTCCCGGTGTGGGGATTAAAGTCAGCCTCTGGCTAGATGCTTGCATGGTACAGAGACCATGGAGGGCACCGGTGAAGTCTGCTAAAATTGAAAACGTGCAGACCCAGCATCCTACCTCTTCATCAGTGCCAAGAAAAGGATGCTCACAACAGAACAGAGACAAAGAATCAACTAAATGTTGGTGGAGCCTGGAGATGGAGAATGTGAGAACTGAGGAATACATGCTCCACTGTGTTAGAGGACAAGAGCTTTCGGAATCTGCATGGCTGTGTTGTAAAGATACTAGAGCGCGTCAAGATGCAGCCTCCGGCAAGCTCTCAACACAGTGGACTCCTTCAAAGCACCCGCATGGATTTCATGCATGCCCTAGAAACAGATGCACAAAGCTGTGGGGGAGGGGGAGGTGGGATATAGGACTTTGGTAGAGGTGACAGCAGCTGGGTGCACGCCATTCCACCTCTAAAAGGGAGAATGTATTCAGGCTTTGCTTGCTTAATTAAAGTGTAATTTGGAAAGATTCTAATTTGTTTTCAGCTAATTATGCCAGCTCTGTGTTCGGCGGTGCTCGCGTGTTTGTGCCCAGGGAGGAAGAACGTTGACTCTGTGTGTCTGCAGAGCAAGCTCGCTGATTAGTGAGTGGTGGAGATGGAGAGCATGGGTCAAGCAAGCAGGAGCAGAGGGCTGCTAGCAAACCTTAAGTACCTAAGAATAAACCAAGAAATAGGCAAGACTGTCTGTCACCAGAGGAAAAACACCAAACTTCTAAAAGGCGGGAAGATGCCTGGAACTGGGAGGTACCGTATGTGCTACAAGATAAAGATGCCCATTTCCCTCAAATTCATCCACAGATCCCCTAAAAATCCCAGCAAGGTTTTAAAGCTTGAGCAGCTGGTTCAAAAATGTAAACTGTATGACAACATACAAGACCAAGATGAGGCCACAAAACCAACAGAGTGGATTGCTCTGGCTGTTATCAAAGCAACTCCAGGGAGCAAACGGATGGCTGGAGAGGAAGAGCCGTGCTGGACACAGCTGGGAGCGAGGCAGAGTCACTGGAGGGGAGGACAGCATGGCCAGTACATTGTATTGGAAAACTTAGTCATCCATTTTAAAATGTATCAAACTAAACACCAATACCACCACACTCTAATAAACTTCGCCTGCAGTGATGTGTTAGATGTGAGAGCTGGAAAACAATCATGTGATACAAATGTAAGAAAGCAGCAGGAAGTCTTCAGTGGAAAAATATTTGTAAGGCTGGTGAAGGGAAGGCCTTCAGAAGGCAAAGTAAGAGTCTAAATCTGACTGGATGTAGCGGCCTGTACTCTAACAATTGGAGAGGGAAGCAGTGAGATTAGAGTTCAAGGTCATCCTTGGTTATACAGTGAGTTTGAGGCCAGCCTGGGCTACATGAAATCTTGTTTCAAAAATCAAAATCAACCAAAAACTCAAACAGTGGATACCCTGGCCTGGAGAGTGTTTCTGGAGCCTGTGCCTTGGAGTTCTGTGTGCTCTTTCTGACTGAGGAAAAACCGGAACTTCAGGATCGTGGTGTTTGGAAGGCAAACAGAACACAGGTGAATATGACCCAGGTAGACAGTAAATGAGACAAGTTCAGCCTAACACCCATGACTGGGCCACATCCGTTCCACATCCCCTCACCACCGCTAAGATGTATGTGATTCTGAAAAGACATCCCTGAAGCTCTGCACAGAGGCTTCCTGGAGGAGAAGGGCCCAGTCTCAGGTGGCAGAGACAGCAGCTGGGTGCACGCCATGCCACCTCTAAAAGGGAGAATGTATTCAGGCTTTGCTTGCTTAATTAAAGTGTAATTTGGAAAGATTCTAATTTGTTTTCAGCTAATTATGCCAGCTCTGTGTTCGGCGGTGCTCGCGTGTTTGTGCCCAGGGAGGAAGAACGTTGACTCTGTGTGTCTGCAGAGCAAGCTCGCTGATTAGTGAGTGGTGGAGATGGAGAGCATGGGTCAAGCAAGCAGGAGCAGAGGGGACCCGCCATCCAGAGCTGCAGGAAAACCCTGCAAGAGGACTGAGGATTAAATCCATCAAGGAACAAAAAGCAAGATGACCCAGAGAAAGCAGCCATCTTCTCCAGAGGGACAAGATGCCCTGGGCTAGGAGGGTGCATCGAGCACACACGAAAGAGAGACTGATTTCCCTCAGGCTTATCTGTGAGTTCAGTGTAACTCCAACAAAAGTTCTCTTGGAAATGGATAAATTTAAAATTCGTATGGTAGGACTAAGGTGCAAAGCAGCTCTGCACAGTGGAGAGGGTGAGTTGGCCTGCTCTTACCACAGTCCAGCAGCAAGCCTGGCAGCAGACAGGCAGAAGACCAGGGACGGCCTCACAATTATCCGGCCAGTGGGCTGGTACCAGGTAAAGGGAGCAGGCTTAGATGATACCATCGACATTCTACAAAAGAGTAGAGTGATGACATTAGATGATAAGATTCCTGAATACGGAATTTATTCCTTATACATGACATAAACACAGATTTACAAACTATATATAAACGTATACATGTAAACTATAAATGCCAGAGAAGAAAATACAGGAAAAATGCCTTGAAATCAATATAAAAGAAGGCCTCTTCTTTTTTGTTTTTTTAAAGACAGGGTTTCACTGTGTAGCCTTGGCTGTCCTAGAACTCACTTTGTAGACCAGGCTGGCCTTGAACTCTCAGGGATCTGCCTGCCTCTGCCTCCCAAGTGCTGGGGTTAAAGGTGTGTGCCATCACTGCCCTGCTAAAGAAGGCTTCATAAGGTTGCCAAAAGAAGATGTAAAAGTAAAACCAACAGATGACTGTATCAAAACTTTAATTTTTTTCTAAAAACAATTCAACTAAATGGCAAAAGAACTACAATGTAGAAAAATACTTGTCACTAATGACAAAGCATTAGTATATAAAATGCATGAAATAAAGAACCAGAAACCAATGAAAGATAAAATATCTTGAAAGAAAGAAAGAGAAGAAATAGGCAAGATGTGGTATCATACCTATAATCCCAGTGCTGAGTGAGACTGAGGTTGGAGGACCCTGAATCTGAAGCTAGGATGGGGTACCTAGTGAGACCTTGTCTCAAATAATGGAAGAGAGAGAGAGACGGGAAAGAGGAGGGAAAAAAAGGGAGGGAGAGGCAGAGGCAGAGGGAGAGAAGCAGGAAGGACTTGGCCACACAATCCAGAGAGGGAACTAGGAATGAAGGTAAACAAAAGCTTCAGCTGTGGCATGGCAGGGCACACTAACCCGAGACAGTCTTTTTACCCATCCAACTGGTAAGATGTTAAAGTTGGAGAGGTTCTGGCAGGAGACTGTAGCTGTTTTTATCTGAATTCAGAACGTGTCTTCCCTGTGGCCCAACAGTTCCAAGTACTTGTCCTACAGAAATACGTGTATGTGAGCAAAAAGGGACTAATGAAGGGTACCCTCAGCATGTTTGTTATGAACACCACCAAAGGCATTTCCACAGTCAACCAACAGGAAACATTAAAACGGAAGAGGACATGCTTGTTGCGGCTGTGTGCAGCCAGCTGCGTGGAGCTCTGGAGCGAATGGAGATGCAGACAGCCGCTCGAGGCAAGACCTGCAGGGCACACAGCATAGAAAGCACCTCCAGTGGACACCACCTGCCTATGCAGACAGACCAACGAAAGAACAGACATGCTGGAAAGGGCACAAGCAAACACTAGACAAACAGAGGCACTAATACCAGCTCTCCCCTGAAGGTGTACGGACCCAAGGCAGAGGCTAAGGTAAGGGCCAAGTAGGGATGCCCCATCTGTAATGTGGACTGTATTGAAAAGAAAATGTATTTGTGTTTTACTTGTATAATTGAAATTTAATTCAAACATTCAAATTCATTCCTTGCCAATTAGCTGAGAATGCACGTGTGCTGTACTCTCATTTGTCTGTCCAGGGACAAAGCACGTTCACTTGGTGTGTGTCTGTGAATGCAGCACAGTGATTAGCAAACTGATTAAAATTTGGAAAGTGAAATGAAAAACTGGGCAAGTTTTTCCATTCACGAAAGCAACAAAACTAATAAGGTGTTCAGGAGTCAAGCCATTAAGAAATGTGGAGGATGTCTGCGACCTGCGGGGCCAGCTTTTATTAGAAGGTATTAAAAGCAGAGCAAAACCACACCAAACAAGGGAGACTGACCACGGGAGACGGCGCCGCAGTGGCAGATGGGAGAAGCTGATGGCATCCTAATGACGCTATTTTTCCCTCCAATGCAGTCTCACTTAATAAGGTTTTTTTTCCCCCCATGGAACTTTGACAAGCTAATTATAAGATATATAAAAGTAAACCAGCAATATAACAAGGTGATTTTTTTTTAAAAGAATGGAGGGCAGGGTAAGGGTACTTACCGTATCAGGTATTAAGACACTTTTCAAAGCCTTGCTCATTAAAACACAGCCTTGGCTCACAAAAACACACAGTGATCAGCAGCCTGAAGAGACGAGTCACAGGGTCTGGTTGGAAAGTCGGGCGGGACTGAGAGAGATGTTCAGCAAGCTTGCTGTCCGTGGGACTCCAGCTCTGTCACATCACACACAAAAGTGTGCCTCAGACGGAGTAAACACAAAAGCACAGCAATGACCCCGGAGAGTTGTCTGCCCCTGGGGAGGGTCCTGCCTCCAGGCCATACTAGTGCAGTGAGACAGGCCCCCGATGGGTCGCTCTCAGAGTGGACAGGGCTCCAGGAAGACATCTTTCTATCTACTCTACCTCCCAGCCTGCTGTGTCTCCTCTCCTCTCCTCTCCTGTCTGCCTCTGACTGGGCCTGCCACCCTGGCTGCAAGTCTACAATCATCTCCTGTCACTAGTGTGGTGTTGGCATGACCAGGTGTGTCTTCTCCAGCTTTCCCTCCCTCCTGGAGGGAACACAGAACACTGCATCTTGTGAAGGAGATGAAGTTCATGTGAGGTGGTGGATGTGAACCTAGAGTTCACAGGATGGGTGAGGAGAGACTACTTTTTCTTCATCCAGTCACCCAAACGGCTGCCTCCCAGACTTAACTGCTCCGGTTCCCCCTTGTGGCTCTGCAACAGTCATACTGTTTGGTTGATACAAGGATACATGTTGAGTTTTGGAATTCCAGTCTAAGGCACAGAACACTGGCTTGGCACCTAAAGAGTTCAGTCTATTGCACACAAAATATTAAGACATGATCCCAGCCACAAAACAGGACCAAACTGGTACTAATTAGACAAGCAGGCAGGATACAGGGCAGATAAAAGCTCCCAAAAGAACATGGGATCATATCGCTCTCTAAAAGGTAAATAATTGAGTTTTGCCCACATTTGGTCATATACACATTATTGCTCCAAACTAATTTATCTTCCTCTGCACTTGATCCTAGCCCCCTTGGGAGCTTATTTCAAATAATTGTCTCCATCCCTAATTGTTCAATGACTCTGGCTCCACATCCCAGAATATCCATGGACCAGCTTTGCTCTTTCCTTCAAGATGAAGAAAAAGGCCAGGGCTCTGTTTCTCCCTTTCTCTCCGTAGCTCCTCCTTGTCTGTCTGCCTCTGGATTCTACTTCTGTCTTTCCTGGGGTAAGCCTCTGGCACAGGATTGCCCCTGACCCAGAATATGCTCTGCTGGACTTCCCCTCTTGGTCTGGAGCATGTTTCTGCCAGAGCACCCATCAATATGGGGCACTCTACACCGATGAGCATGACTGATTCTTTCTCCTCTTCTGCTCCAGAAGCCCTACTCACTGCACGGTGTGCCCAGAGAACCCACGGTGTTAGGCATACTGCCAGGAGCACAGCAGAGGACACTGGAAGGTGTGGCTGGATACACTGGCTAGTGAACAATGTGCTCACCTTTCCTAGCCTCACCTCTACACCCCCATCTTTCACATCTCCAAGTTTTCCTTCTTGATTCCTTAAAGGACTTAGTGACAGTCTCATGCCCCACTTGCATGTCAACGCCAATCCCTCCTTTATGTTCCTACAACTCCCCCTAAATGCTCTTTTAAGGCCACTACAAGTCAGCTAATCCTCAAGTCCAAAGGGGAAATTCCTGTCTTACCTGATTGGAATTGCTGCCACATTTGACAATGTTGATTACTTTCTCCTTGAAACTCTTTACAACCTTGGTTGTCATGGCAACCCCCTCTCCTAGTGGTTTGCTGCATCTCTCAGGTCCTTTCCTGTCTGCCATCTCATCAGCTCCTTGAATGTTTCTAACTCCTGGTCTTGACCTAGGCCCCGTGCCATCTTCTCCACATGATCCCTAACAAATCACTTTTTCTGGGTCCCCATTACAGAGTGGCAATGACTCCAGGCCAGTTGTGTCTTTCTTCAGTCCTCAAGCTAGAGTTCAGGTGTCACCAGGCCCACCTGTCTTTGTCCCCAATACCCTGGCCATATCTGAGCCACTTTCCAAAGTCTCTGACTGTCTTGTAATACTGTGTTCCCCAACCCAGAAGCTTGCCACACACCAGGACTCCACTCAAGACACCAGGGCCACTCCAGGCCTGACCTTCTAAGTGTGTGTGCATGCCAGAATGTATGTGTATGTATGTGAGTGCAGGAGCCTGAAGAGGTCAGAAGACCCAGCATGGATGGGTACAAGAAGCTAAGTTCTTAACCATGGAACCTCCTCTCCAGCCCCAGCCTGACCTCTTAATAACAGCCAACCATTCTAAGTACGTCTAGTTTCTGTCTACCAGAGGTTCTGACCCACTCCTCTGAAACCCTACTGGTCTAGTTGAGAGCTGTCTCTCATATAATCTCCTGCCTTTGAAGAGACCAGATGCTTATAGGAGATCAGAGATCTGGGGCTTTCTATATCCCTCACTCCTCACATAGCTCTAATACCTATGAGACTTCCTGGTAGAAATTCTCATGTAGTTTTGGTGGAACCTGGGCTGATCTACTATGCAGAAGACACACTACCAAGTCCTGTAAGGCATGCATGCCCATGCTCAGGCCGTTCAACAGACTCTGACTTCTGTGCAAGGCTGGAAGAAATGGTTACAATTCGGTATATGCCGTCTAGGAGAGACCTAGCAACTCCAGGCCGTGCCCTTGTCCTCATCCCTGTACTTCTCACCACTCTCCTTGCTTTGCTTCTCCAGGTCTCCTCTCTCCCCTATGAAACAGGCCAGCGGGCTGGCTGCCTCACTGCATGTAGGTGGAGGGGCTGTAGTGATCAGCCGAGCAGTGGCCATGACCCCATGACACACATTATGAGGAGCTGAGCCCACACTAAGGCCAGGGAACATTCCCTGAGATCTAGACCGAGTAACCATGACTGCTATGTCATTTCTTCATTCCTTGTCAAGATACAATGTCTCTATGACAAAAAGAATCTATCTGAACCTCCATTTCAGACACTGGAGTTGAGACAGACAATGATTACTCTGCCCCTACCGCGACAGCTGCCTGTTGCTAGGCGCCCAGAGCTACGAAGAGCGATAAGATGCGACCCCAGCCACCAGGCAAGAAGAAGCCACAGCTAATTAAGGCTGCAGTTAGGACCCACAGGGCAGATGAAGGCTCCCTGAGAACATGGAGATCAGGTTCCCTGCACAAAGGAACATGAGTGCAGTTTGCTCTTTCTACCAACACAACTAATCCCCTCACCTCAACACTTAATCCCACTGCTCTGGGGCCCTCTGTGTCTGCCCCGACTCTGCAGGCGGGCTGGCCCAGCCTTCCCCTGTCCTGGTGTGGCCGGGGAGCAGGGGTGCCTTCCTGGTGCTGGAGCCCCTGCAGACCCCTTCTCCCTCCTCACAGCCACATTAGAGGTCGACTGTCCCCCACCTGGGGGACTTCTGCCCTGTCCTCAGAGCTGTGCGGCAAACTCTTTGTTGGCTCTCTGGAACCTATGTGCTGCTGTGGTCTCTTCCAATGGCACCTTCTCAGTCTCCTTAGCAGGATCCATGCTGTAACTGCCCTTGTGTGCCAGCCACAGCTCAGCTCGGGCCTGGTTCCTGTGAATCTGTCTGCACCTGTGTGTATGTCAAGCCACAGGTGTCCTCGTCACTCTCTACTTTATTTTCTGAGATGGGACCTTTGGTTAGAGCTCAAAATTTGCCAGGCTGACAGGCAGCAAACCCCACCAATCCTCTCTAGTCATCTGGTGTGTGCTGCCAATACCTATCTTTGTTTTTTTTATACAGGGCTGGGGATTGAACTCGGGTCCTATCAACTAAGCTCTGAGGTGGGTTTAGAATAGGGCTCTCTTTGTAGCAAACAACAGATCAACAATCTGAACCTTGGCTTCAAACAAGCCTTCTCCTCTTGCCCAGTTCTGAGTTTAGCTATTTTTGATTGATGATGACATCTGGAGCTATGTTCTCAAAGAATGTGCCACTTGGACAGAGACCCAGAAGACTAAGGAAGGTCTGACTGGAAACAATGACAGTGAACACAGAACAGCATTTCAAGGTGAGAAAGCCGTTAGAATTCTGCCAGGAGATAATGTGGAGAGACGGCTCACCTACTTTGCCACTGTGGATTGATCCATCTAGTTGGCATCCACCAGTCTGTAGGCATCCAATCCTGCAAGGAAACATTACTCAGGGGCCGAAAGAGTGTCAATCCCACCCTCTCCCTCGCCTGTACCAACCTACCTGAATGGTCTGCCAAGACATTTCACCACAAGCAGCAGAATCATCTCAGCCAGTTCCTGGCAAGTTCGCCTTCTTGGGGCTACAGCTATTTCAATCCCTCCATGTTCCAAATGTGGAGGTGACAAGTCTGGGGTCTCCATTCCCCATCAGCACTGTCACCGCTGAAGATGTGATGTTAGCACTGAAAAGGAACTCGGGAGAACCTAGTTCAGGGGCCTCCCTCTGCAGATGGGGGACAGGCCTGGTGAGTGGTGGTAACTCCGGCAAGTCAGTGGAGAAGCATTCTCACTGGGGAGATCAGGATGAGGACTTTACCTATCTAAGCTAATCTCGATTGAAAACAGTACAAGGGTTGGTTGGAGCGATGGCTCAGCAGTTAACAGCAGTAGCTGCTTTTGCAGAGGACTTGGGTTCGGTTCCTGATACCCACATGACAGCTCACAATTGTCTGTAACTCTAGTTCCAGGGGATCCAGTGCTGTCTTCTGGCCTCCATGGGCACCAGGCACACACATGGTGCACTACGTACATGAAGGCAAAACACAGGGCAGGGAGATGAGGATTTAATCAGGAATCCGCTACCTCCGTCCTGCCAGGTGCTTGCCTCATAGGCTCTCCTGTACAGAAAGGGATGCCAAGCGGTGTGCTTTTTGAGGTTCTTCTCAAACGACTAGTCTGGAAAATAATCCTTGTCACTTCAGAGCTGCCAAGAGGAGTCTTGGGAGGTGATTTTCTGCCTTCGAGGAAAGACCAGTCACCTAGTGCCTTTAGGAGTTTAGCACTGACTGACTTGGGCCACCACCTATTTACCCCTAAAGCCACAGACCAACAGGTACTGTGCCGGGCCTGGTCAGGCAGGTTCTGTGACTGGTCAAGTGACAAAGTCCCTAGGATTAAGGGTCATGCAGGACCTCGATGATGCAGCTAAGGCGTGGGAACCCGGGAACTGCTGGAATGTTTTGTCTGTCTCCTCCCTCACGGGCCCTTCCACATCTGCCTTGGCACTTCTGCACGCAGAAGTAAAACTCAAGTTGATTCCTCTAGTGCAAAATCCTTTGATTAAATCCTTCATTGCCTTAACAACTTTTAGCCAGCATTTTTTTTTTTTAAACTAAAGTAACAAGGGTAAAGGTCACCAATGTCTCACAGGAGATGGTTCTGGAAATGGTAAAGACTTCTTCCTTAACTAATAAATAAATGGGGCAACAGGCCTCAAGGAACATGAACAGTGAAGAACAAAGTCACATGCCAAATGGTGGGGAATCAAGCCCAAGACCCTACAATCTTCTGTGTCTCGCTGCCTTTTTTTGGAAGGCTGTCACCACTAGCATGGGACAGGGGAATGGCAGCATGGGCAAGTTGTCCAAGTATGTGCTCTCTACAACTGCCCAGGGCAAGTGAGAGGCCAAAACTACCCAGAGATTTGTCTTTAGGAGGGTCTTGTTTAAGCAGATCCAACAAGGCACCTCACACATGCCCCTGCACTGGCTGCTCGGAGGAGACAGAGCCTAGTCAGAGACAAGGAGTGCCCTCCCACTGACGAAGGAGTGCCATCGGAGACTACTGAGACTGATGCTAATGGCCTCCACTTTAAGGGGAGGAAACTACGGCTGGGGTTGGGGGATGTGGACAGGTGCAAGTCACAAAGGCCAGCATAAGACCCAGGGCTCCTTGACTCCTCCTAGCAGGATTTTTAGCCTTCTCGTCCACTCCTGGCCCTAGTATTTGAGTCCCTTTCCTAGATTCCCCAAAGAGACAGGCTGCTATGGACCCTCCAGCTATGTGGCTTGGCCTGACCCAGATGGACAATGCTGGTTCCAACATACCTGTTCACCCGGTACTGCCACGCTGAACTCACCAGGACCACTTCGGAGCCCTTTCTCCTTACTCCCAGTGAGCTACACACCCCTTCGGGACGGACGAAGCCTAACTCACAAACTGCTTACTGTGATGGCTCTTCGTCAGCTGGCAACTGGAACTCTCAGGACGGTTTTGGGGGCTTGCTAGCAGCAATTCAGCTTTAAAACCCTCCCTTAGTGCCCCCTAATTGTCACTGTTCTAGGTTTAAACAGACTGACATTTTTCCCCAGAAGCTTTCTGGGGTCTGTTTCTAAGGCAGCCAGATACTAGTGGTCCTTCATTTTACTTTGCAGTTCAGTCTCTATCTGTAGGCAAGATGCTGGATTAGATGGTGACAAGCAACATCTCATGTATTACTTCACTGCTCAAACAATCACATTTGATCTCCAGGTCTGAAAGCCAGTCCTAGTCTGCATCAGCTCCTTCCTGAGACCCTAAGAACCCTGCCACAGTGCCTAGCCATGGGTCTCTAGGATGACTTGACCAGTAAATACTCTCCCCTTTTTCTTTAGTCTGGAGGACACTGTGACAGTGGAAACTGTCCACTGTGGTCCCAGGGTCTCACCACATGAGACTGACAAAAACTGGAGAATAGTAGGGCAGGTCTCCTGAGCAGGACTCATGGGCCATGCCCTCCAGGGACTCAGTTGCTAAAGGAACTCTGCCATAGCTCAGAAACAGTATGCATGACAGCTGAATGATGGATGGGCTGTAGACAAGCTCTCAGCACAGAGAAGGAAGAAATGAAGTTCCCCACCACAGGTAGGGTCTGGGCACACATGGCACACTGATCAAGGCATATGCAGGCAACTCCCAAGTACTCTGTCGCCAACTCAGTCCAGCCACCTTCCTCGGCTGGGCTCTCCCATCAGCCTAGGATTCAAAGAGTAAAGACTCCCAGATCACCAGGGCTGGGAGAACTGTATTTGTTCCAAAGACCACATTTTTTTTTGATCAGGAACTGACAGCGGAAGCAGGACACCTTCTCAAAGAGTCCCAGTGGCAACAGAATTCTGTACAGTGTGGGGCCCTCGAAGACCTGGGCCCTTCTGCACAGGAAGTGTCTTCTTTTTGTTTTCCTGAAAGATAGTTCAGGAAGAGGGATAGCATCCTAGGTGATGTAGGGAACCCTGTGGGCAGACAGAACCCTCAGGTGGCAAGCACCCTGAGAAGGATGGGCTATCAGCACCCTACTGAAAGGACCACAAATCTCTTGGAGGGAAAAGCCTATACGTGACTCTCGAGCACAAGATCTAGGACAGAAAGCTGCTTTCCAACGGAGAGCAAAATAAGCAATGATCTTGGCTTCATTTCCAATCCAGGTGCCTCCACAGGAGAGGGACACAAAAGCCTCCGTCTGTTTGTTTTGTTTTTGGAATCTGCAGTTGTCTGTTTTGCTAAGTCTCCCCACTAGGCTAGAATCATGAGGTCCTGGAGTGTCAGGCCTGTGTGTCCTGAAATCCCCAGCAAGCCTTGTACAGGGTCTCTGTGCTTGTTGAACAAACTGGCCTTTCCCTACGCCCAGCTCCTCAGCTTGTCCGGCTCTGCAGAATCCCGAACAGCTACGCACAGTAAAGACCTCAAGAGGTACGAGCAACACCGAAGCAGACAGCCGTCCCAAGAATGATCACTGCCCATTTTCAAAGAAAACCCTTCTAAAACAGACACATCTTTGGTCATTTGATTTTGTTTTGTATTAGATAGGTTCTCACTCTGTAGCCTAGGCTGGCAATCCTCCTGCCTCAGCTTCCTAAGTGCTAGGATTATAGGTGTGAACCACTACACTTGGCTCTTTGGAAAGTTATAATCAAGACGAGGAAAGCATGGGCCAGCAGTATGGGCCAGGAATGCAAAAAAAAAAAAAAAAAAGGCAGAAGAGCAGAGGTAAATCCAGTTTTCCCACAACAAAGGAAAAGTCTAGGCAGGTCACCATGAACTTCCCTAACATCACCAAACCATCCTCAAGCATTATCTTAGCAACCCTCATGACAGCTCCCCATTTCTCAGGCAGTGCTCCTATTCTGCATTTTGAGAGGGAGGAGACTTGGAGGTGATGCCCAGCACAGGGTGGTGACATGCTGCCACAACTGAGTGTCCCAGGTCACAGCCACAGTTAACACACGTACGTCTGCAGCAGAGGACTATATCCCCTCGTGCTTCTAGCTATCACTAAGATGTGCCGGGTGGATGGCAAGCCTTATTTATTTCTCCAGGTGAAATGCCATGAGGAGTTTCACTTATTTTTACTTCAAAAGCAGCACCATAAAAATCCTTGATTAGAGAGAGCCCCAGCTGTCCCAAGTTGTTTATCAAGGGATCCATTACTAAAGTCTTCTATGGAGCAAACAGTTTCAGGCGGGAAGCCATGGGAGCTGAGAAGTGCAAATGTCTCATCTCTGAAAACTTTCAGACTCCCTCCTGTTTGCCGCCTGGACTGCCCCCTGCCCCTCCCCCAACACCACCATCTGCTCGCCACAGAAGAGATCAAATTCTCTAGCTAAGGTGCTCTGGCGCCAAGGACTCAGCCGAGTATTTTACCCTGCCCCCCACCAACTCAGAAATCCAACACCATGACCCAAATGGACTGCAGCCACATAAAATCACGAAGTAAAGTTTATAAAGCTTTATTAAACATTTCAAACAGCTGTAGAACGAACACACCAGGAAAAAAAAAAAGCTTTACAACAGCAGTCCAAGTGTTTCCCAAGTGTGGCCTTGAAGTCCCACTCCCCAGATGCTTGCTTCCAGTTCTGTGCCTGGCCCATCACCCTCACTCGTACACAAGAGGACATTTCCGACTGGAAGAACAACCATGCTGATCCCCAGTGGGCAGGGGCCAGGAGAAAGTCTCATTTGCCAACACTTGTTACTGAAGCGCAGAGAAAACAGAACAAGTACCCAGTCACCAAGTCTTCCTGTGTATTCTTCCTAGTGGACAGTCTACGTGCACAAACGAAGGGGCTCCTGGCGGGAGGATGATGGCCACTGCTCCCTGGGTCTTGTCTGAACCACCGTGGAGTCCACTGTGCTGGTCACTCTGCAATCCCCATGCTAAATAAAAACTGCAGTGGACCTACTACAGCTAGCTACTACTACTAAACCTCAAAACCAGAACACATTCAGTAAAGCTTCTTCACAAGGAATATACACATGTATTTGTATGTGTACACACACACACACACACACACACACACACACACACACACATTCTCACACGCATGCGTGCACACATACACAGAGCACATCAAAAAATACCCAAACACCTATCAAGGGAATCATGGCTGCTATGAAACACATAATACTTTTCCGTTCACTCAGGGGGGACCACTGGGTCTACAAGAACACTGCACACCTCTCTCCTGAAAAGCATGCACTGGAGCCCAGAGGCGGCTCCCTTAGGATGGCTGAGAGAGGCAGGAGGAAGAGCAAAGGGAGAGAGGCTGGGCTGGAAAGCCAGAGCCTAGACACCCAAGCCAAAGAACAATGTCTCTCCATTGCTTCTCTCTTAAAAACGAGGCAGAGAAAATACTGGAGGTTTATGGACAACAAGCAATTGAGACATGATTCCGTCTCACCTGCTCGGCAGGGAAAGAAGAATGAAAAAGCGAGGCTCTCGGGCGTCAGCAATCTCTTCAAATTTGAGATAAGTGCAAAAACAAGCCCTGTCTTGGACAGGTGTTCCCCCAAAAGGAAAGGGGTGGGAGAGAACCAAGGGGAAACCAGGGAAAGGGACTGAGGAGGGAGGAGGAAGATCCTGATGCGGAAGATCCTGATGAGGAAGGGTCATGGAGGTGACAATGAAACTAGCATTGTCTCTGCCCAGGTCATACCAAGGGCGGTTGACCAGGATGGGTGTAGAGTCCCCACAACGACGAGCAAGGGGGTGGGCCAGTCCGTCATCCGGGACCCAGATGGTGACAGAACACACAACCATAAGACCACCCACGACTACAAGACGCTACAACAGAAGCACCGGTCAGTGCCATTATTCACATTGTAAGGATAAAACATCACAGGCCAAAAGGCTCCATCAGGAATGCGGCACCCGCAGGGTTGCGGGATTTGAAACTCCAATGCTTTATGACCTATGTCAGTACCTCCCCTCCCGTCTTCTGCTTCCTTGGAAAGCTATTTCGGCAGCTATTAGGTGCCCACAACGCCAGGGTCGTGGGCGGACTCCGGAAGTGGGGAATCGGAGCAGTGGTACAGGAAACAATTTCCCCAGCAGCTATAACAGATGAGGAAGAGGGCTGCCAGGAAAACCAAGGCACATATTGTGCAAGGTTTCCGCTCCAGAAGGAAGCTGAGCAGGTAGAAGCCCATGAACATGGAGTGGCTGAACCACAGAGCGGGGTTGAGGGGCTTGGGGATGAGGAGGACGGGCAGCAGCCACTGGAGGCAATACATGATCTCTGTCGGGCAGGGCCTTCACCAAGGCTGCCAGGCACCGCTGCAGGAACCGACCTAATGGGAGCCAGCAGGCACAGGTGGCTACCCTCCGTTTTCTTCGACTCTCTCTCCAGGAGCTGAGCCGCTGTGCTCTCTGGCTGTCAGCCTGGGATCACCAAGGCAGCAAGGATCCTGAAGAGAAAAGTCAACACAACAAACAAAGAACAGACAGACAGACAGACAAAAAACAAAACAAAAAAACAACAAAAAAACAAACAAACAAAAAAACAGGAACAAAATGTATACTTATTTGGGAAAATGGATCATGGTTAACAACAGCAAATGTGAATGCCCTTTCCTCCCCACCCACCCATGAATATCTACTCCTATCCAAATTACTAGTTTAAGATAGCCTCCTGGGGTGTGTCTTCCCTGGGCTTCTACTGGAGGCTCCCAGGAGGGCACGGTCCCCACAGTGGACTGGCTTTGCCTGGGCCCTGCCCAGCAGAGATCATGTATCGCCTCCTGGGGCTGCAGCCCGTCCTCAAAGGTCCCAGACCTCACAATACCGCCCTGTGGTTGCCACAGGACACCATGGACTGAGTGTTGTGCCCCCATGTGGTAAGAAATGGTTCTGTATCTAGTCTCACATCTGCAGTTCCAGAGAGAATGTCAAATTACAGCAGTTATCTGTGAACTGCTAACCTGGAGATGCCAGACAACAGATCCTCAGATCCTGGCAAGATATGGGAAGACACAATAAAGTGGCGCCAAATATTTTAAGATGGCAGCCTGGGCCATGCTTGCTTTTTTCAAATAGCCCAGTATCATTCATCCAAACCAGCCAACTCCTTTGAAAGTCAATGTTAAAAAAAAACCAAAAAAACCCAAAAAACAAAAAACACAACACTTGGAACACTAAACCTTCATCCATCTGTTACTGACATTGAACAGAACTGGGTCTCTATAAGTTTTTAATCAAAATTAATATCCTATCCACATAGGGGCAAATACATTTGGCCTCTGTGGCAAATAGTTCGGAGGCAATTTGGTCTTTCCACCCAAGCCGCGCTCCACTAGAGATCTGTAAGATCACACTAAGCAAGGGGTACTCGCTTTACTTTGAAACTAGGTAACAGTAGCCATATTAAGACACAACCCTTGGCGGCTATAGCAAAATCCTGTTCTGTGCTCCAGCCGCGAAGCAAACTGGTACAAAGAACCACCGTGGCTCAGGCAGACCTACTAGAGATTGGGGGAGGGGAGCACAAGACAGAGATTGATATCATCTGTCCCACAGAAACTAGTCCCAAATACATCTGGACCACTTCTTCATAAATCTTGCTCCTTTGGCACACAAAGGGCATCAATCCTTCCTACATCTCTCCCAGAGTAGATACAATCGCTTTAGCTACTAAGAGCAGAGCGCTGTTCCAGCTCGGGACCGCAGCCACCACCGCCTGCTGGGCAGAGCAGAGAAGCAACAGCCAGGAAAGTGGTACAAGATCAAGGACTCTCACAAAACAGTTGGCATGAGTTTAAAATTCACTGAATATTAGGAGTACTAAGAAAGGGGTATGCTTTTTGCCGAGATAGATAGCCTTCCGTAATTTCGGCAACCGTATAGGAGGTATATTTTGGCGCGGCACTGGTTCCGCGGCTCGAATTTGCAGACCTGGGCGTGTCATACCACTCCTACCCTCACTCTACACTCTAGAGCCATGACTCCCCTCCATTTTACACCGAATTTCAAAAGCAGGCCGAGCAGAATCTTCTGGAAGGGTGTTACGAGCGGACTCGAGAGGTGGGGGTCGGTGTGGAAAGAACAGACGGATTTTTTTTCCCTCTCCTGGCGAATGAGGAGCGCCCCCCGCCACCCCGCCACATCAACAGCCCCCCCAAGTGCGCATGCGCACTTCGGTGGCAGGAGGGTACTTAAGGCACGGCCACCGGGGCTGCGGCAGTGCGCCCAACAGCGGACTCCGAGACCCGCGGACTCCGAGACCAGCAGACCTCGGCGAACCCTCGCTCGACTCGACCACCCACTCTCGGAACCATGGCCGCAGTGGCAGCAGCTTCGGCAGAACTGCTCATCATTGGCTGGTACATCTTCCGCGTGCTTCTTCAGGTGAGTATATGCCCGGGCTTTGGGTGGGAGAGGGCCCCTGAAGCGCGCCCCGGACCCCTAACCCCCGTCGCGATTGCCGCCTTCCCAACCCATCCTTCCCAATTGCCGCGATTCCTGCCTACCAAAGTGCCGCGGTGGTACTATTTGTCCCTGCCCGTTCCCGTGCCCACATCCTCGCACAGACCCTGTCCCCAGTGCGCCCGCGCCCGGCCGGGAACAAAGACTCAGGGGTGCGGCGGTCGCCCGCTGCGGACGATCCCGACCAACGCGGTAAGAAACACCCGCTACACTCGACCCCAGGAGGGAGGCGGGGCACTTGCGTGCTGTGAGACTTTACAGTTCGCACACAAAAAATTTTTGCCTTAAAAAATTGCGCATTGCGGGAAATTTTCTTTAAAAAAAAATACACTATATACACACACTTGTGGGGTGGGATGAAAATTAAGTCAGAAAATGCCACTTTTCAGGAAAAAAAAATCCAACAAAAAGAATCTCAATAAATCAGGAAAAAAAGGTAAAGGGGAGGAAATAGACAAAATGTGCATTGCAGGAAAAATAAACCAGACAAAAGCACTTGGTAGGAAAAAAATTCATTTAGATAAAGAGCATTGGAAGAGAGACAAAGGGACAGGAAAAAAAACTGGATACACACATTGAATAAAACAATTAGAGGAAAATGCCCTTCGCAGGAAAAAAATAGAAAGGTTAAGAGATCTTCCAAAAAAAAAAAAAAAAAAAAAAGAAAGAAAAAAAAGAAAAAAAAAGGACAAATCATTTTATGGAAAAAGAGCGCGCGCAAAAGTGCTTTTCTTAAAGCCAAATTGGAAGAAGGCGCTTTGTGCATAAAACCATCTACCCCAAGAGCTCCCTTTGCAGGAAGAGTTCCCTGCTAAAGGAATCCTTTGCCAAAGGAATCGCATATTTCCTTCAAGGTGTTCCTGGAATGCTGCATTTACTGGGTAGGATTCGCTTTTCGAAATCCTCCAGGGACACAGCCCATTGCGAGAAGTGAGGTATACCTAAGTTGTGGGTCCAATCAGCTTGCAGCCATGCAGCTCTCAGCACAGTTGGAAAAGCTCCAGCTGCCCTGACTCGTGGACAAGCTGGGCGACGCCCGTCACTCCAGGCTACACTGGACAGACGGGCGGGGCCGGGGGCGGGGCCGGGCGGGCACACAGCAGGATCAGCAAGCAGCAGTAGCAGCAGTACTACACTGAGTCATGGGTGCTTCTCTAAGGGTGGGTCCTGGATCTCTCACCGCAGGTGTTCAGGTACTCCCTGCAGAAGCTGGCGCACACGGTGTCCCGGACCGGGCGGCAGGTGATGGGGGAGCGCAGGCGAGCCCCCAACTGAGGCCCCAAATCCCAGCCCTGGGCGGCCGTGTCATCAGGTGCTCCTGTGCTTCTCGACCCGCACAGGAGCCAATGCCGCGCAGGAATGGGGGGTCTCCTGTGCTCCCTCGTCAACGGAGCACCTGCCAAGGTCAGTGAGGGGCCGGTAGGCCCCCGGAGAAGCAGCACCGTCAATGATGAAAATATCAGTTCCCTCCCCAGCCCCTTTGCCCCTCCCACTATCGGCGGGTGGGAGAGGAGGGGGAAGAGGGGAGCAAACCCTCGAGATCTGGGCGTAGGCACCACATTCTGATCTGGACTAAGTCGGAACAGCACCATCTCAGCCACAGAAGAGATCTGACCACAGAGATCCAACACCCCACCAACCAGCAGAATGGACATTCTGACATCACCAGCGGAAGCCCTGAATCTCAGTGCAGAAGAGAAAACATCAACTGCGTGCCCCATGGCGGGACTGGAGGGCGTGGATGAGGGAGGAAGAGGGTTAAGAAATTCAGAGGGGCCCTCTCACTGTCCCTTGCCTATGGCACACACATTTCTGCCTTGCTCCCTCATTCCCCTTCCTTCCAAACACCTCCCCAAAATGTGTCACCTGATTCGGACCCATTTAAACAGTAACTGAATCCCACCTTCACCAAAACGCCTTCTCCGACCCCCGGGCCTTCACTGATCTTGCTATCCCTGATCTCACGCAGCAGTTGTGATTAATATTGTGGTAGTCGCTAATTGTACTGGTTTAAGTGTGCATTAGTTGTGTCTCCCCAGCTAGACTGTAAGCTCCTGGAGATCAGGGACCACCCTCCCCAAAAAATAAAAAATGGACTCTCCTGTCTTGTACAGTCCTAGGACCGTGCAGGGCAGTGGGGGTGCACCAAAAAGTTCCTTTGTGGCTTCTTTTGCGACATCGTCACATGTCTCTAAAGCTGGGCAATGAACCCATTGGGGAGGGGCACACCACTTGGGAAAAGGGGTAGGGGGACAAGAATGAACGAAGACTCTCTTGCATGCCTGCCTCATTTCAATACTGTCCTGAGATAAAGGACTATTTCTCATCCCCAATCCAAAAAGTGTTATTCATTTGTCCCAGAATAAGGGACATTTCCCCTTCCCCAGGATGATGGGTGCATTTACTTGGTGGTCCTGAGATAAGGCACCATGGCAGGTTATCAATTGGAAAAGAAGAGAAAGTAAATGGGAATGGCCCTCTAAATGGGATCCTGAGACCGTGAGGGCTGATTTGAGACTATAAAGCTATACCCCAGAACTCCACCCAGGAGCCTCAAGAAATAATTGCTGGGCAGGAAGAGGGGGGCTTGGACAAAGATGTGGCTTGGCAACTCCTCCACCCAGCTCAATGCTCCAGGCCCCAGGATTGCCCCAAGGTCATCATGCCTGGCTTTTCCAACCCTCCAGCTGGACACCCCCACCCCCATCTTTAACGGCCTTATCAGGTCCCTAGCCTGCACTTTCCCCTCCCATTGATTGCACCAGGAAGGGTGGGCTGGCCGATTAGTTCTCCTCCTTGGTTAGCCATGGCTCTTCTTCCAAGTGTCAGCTGACTGCCTCACTAAATAGGCCTGCCACCTGTTAAACTGCAGCTCGATTTTTTTATCCGTCACTGCACACCTGTTCCTATGCCAATACTAAGGGAATGAGTTGGAAGGCCATCAACCTCTCCCGCTACTTCCTTAAATCCCTTAGTCATGGTTGTCACATCACAAATATTCAGGCACACAAAGCACCTTGACCCCCTTGAACCTTGATCATGTCTCTATCCCCTGAGAAAGCCTGATGTTCAAGCCAATCATTGGCACTTTTGAAGATACTTGTAATTTCATTCAGCACCAGGGAATTACAGGGGTTGGTAGTGAAGAACTTGGTGTGGCCTTGGCTTTACCATCAAATCAGCTTAGGCTACCCAGCCAGGTTGCTTTTTGTTCCCTACCAAGATCCAGATGAACCCATGCACATCAGAGGCAGTCAGAATCCACAGGATTTGGATGTGGCATGCATTCTAAGACTCCATCTTCCTCAGCAGGGTGAATACAACTACTGTCAAGGCTTGAAGTTAGGTCAAGTCCTTTGCCTCAGGGTTACACATCTGCAGTCAGTGCCTACCTCCTTATTGATTGGAAATTTCTGTCGTTTGCCATACTAAACCCATTGAGCCAGGAGTACATATTAACCCAGGTTCCCAATGAAGGCTGACTCTCCCCTTGGAGACTTGGAGGGAGGCGGAGACTGTCACTCTACTATTCCATATGTTCTAATCTCAGCCCAAGTTGGATGCCAGCTGAGTTCACAAAGGCAGGCCAAAGCAGGGGGAAAAAAGTCTGGCTACTCTGGATATAGCACATTTTGTCCCCTCATCCCCAAGCCAGGAGGTAATCCCAGGGCTTTCCAGATGATCTTGGCAAAACTTTTTTCCTCCATCTACCCTCCAGCATTGCTGAGTGTGGCGTAGTTAGGTGGACTTCCAGGCAAGGGTTGCTCTGGTGGCTTTTAGAATGTGAGATGTCCACTATCCACTTTTTTCTCCCACCCCACACCCTGTCCTAACAGCAAACTAAACCCACCAGAGAAGACAGAAGGAACGTGTTCATGCCCCACCCTTGTGTTATATCTGCAAGCCTGATCCAAACATACCTTATTTATAAAATGTTTCCACAAGCTATATACTATTAAAACATTTTATTCTCACATAAAACAACTTTTAGAGATGTGGGTTCTAGGTGACTGCTACCTCTATCTGTATCGTAACTGAATTGTGATTGAGAGAAGGGATTCGTTAGAGGGACAGAACAGGGATTAAGCTTTTTGGCTTGGGTTACGGGGCCAGCCAAAGATAGCCTAATTACACCGAGGCTTTGAGGGAAACAGGCTTGCTGCTGGTCACTTCCTAGATATCTACTTTCAAACTTGGATCTCTTTAAGGAGCCAACATTCCAAAGGGAGAGTCTCAGCTGGCAGTTAATCTCCCCCAGGGGATTTAAACGTGTACACATACATAATACTAGTCTATCAAAAGTTTCTTTCTCCAGGTGACCACTGACTTCTTCCACATGCCAAAGAGACACGTTTGCCAAAATCTTCTCTGGAAATGAACCTGTTCCCCTTCCACAGGGCTCATACCATGGCAGGATGCCGATTCCTGACCATTCCCAGGGCAGAGCCGGACAGAGAGGAAGGCAATACATGGCTCTTGGTAGACCCGACAGTGACAAGCTTGCAATGGAATGTGTGTGTTTCAAAGATAGAGAACAAGAACAGAGGGCAGCCTAGATTCCCCTTAGAAACAAAGATAAGAAGTTAAACTGTTTTGGCAGCAACTTGAAGATGGCCATTTTCAGATACAGAACTGATCTAGTCCCTGGAAACTGACCAAGGTTCCAGAAACCCAATCTTTGAACAGGAATTCTTGACATTAATGAACCGTGATTTAAAAGAAACAAGTAAGCTTGCTCTAACACTCGACATGAACACATAAAATGGAACTTTTTTGGGTCCTGGCTTTGGTGTTGAAGTCCAGAAGGCTGACAGGATGGTTGGACCATGTCAGGCAGGGCCGAGAAGCCGTCCCCAATACATCAGTTCCCTGAAAGGGACAAAAGAGGATCCGAACATATAAACAGAAAGAACCTATAAACCCGAACAGGTCCCAGTTTCCCAACTAAAAAGGGACATGAGACCTAGAAGGAAACTTAAGGTAGTTTGGAAGGAGGAAGGAAAAATCAATTGTCCCCATCCCCCATTCTTCTTTTCCAGGCCAAGGCGAGTGTGACAGGCATTCCATTCCGTCTGCTGCCCTTGAGGGCCACTCCCCACACACCGGAGGAGAGGGAACCCGTGTCCAGAATCGATGAAAAGTTGGTGGGAGAAGGACCCGGGACCCGAGGCAGATGGTCACCCTATTACTCCAGACACCAAAGACAGGGTTCAGGGCCTGGCTCTCCCTTCTCCCCATACTTCTTCGGATGGAGAGAGACAGAGAAAAAAAAAAAAGAAAGAAAGAAAAAACAGAGACTGAAGTGGCGAGGGAAAAAAAGGGGCGGCTTCTTAGAAGCTGAGCCCCTTGCCACGGGCCCGAGTGGAGGAGGTGGTGGTCGCACCCCGCGCTCCCAGCCCCATCTCCCGGGAGCTCGCTGACCTTGGAGGCCAGAGTGGTAGCCGGGAGTCCCCGAATCCCCCATCGGGACGGGAAGGGGAACCCCCGCCCCCCAGGCCCAGGTTGGGGCAAAGCGGGGCGGTCGCCTGACGCCAGACAAGGGTGCGCCCGCCCCCGGCCGCGCGGAAGGAAAGCCCCGGCGAGAGGCCAAGCGGCGCCTAAGGTGACCCTGGAGGGCCAACATGGCGCCGCGGCCGCGCCGAGGACCTCTCACCCCGCCCAGGCGGGCGACGCCACGATACCTGCGAGCCCCTCCATGGTGCTGCCGCCACTGTCACCGTCGCCGCCGCCGCCGCCGCCGCCGCCTTCCTCCACCTTAGCTCGCCGCCGACGCCGCAGAAGCTGGGGAGACGCCCCCTTCGTCTTCTAGTCGAGCGGCCCAAGGACCCCGTCCGGAGTCGGGCTGTCCGCCGCAGACGCCTGACATATAAGCCCAAAGTGGGGCTACTCTAGGGCACTCTTCCCCTAGTATCCGCTACAAAAGATAGTTTATAAACTTCATATGGACTTGAATAAAATTGCGGGGCTCTGAGGCCTTCAAGCCCGAGGAATTTTTAGTCAGGCGCAGCTTGGGCAGCCCCGAATCTCTGGTCTATGGTCCCCCTTATGCATATGCAAGCAGATTGTGATCCTTACTCTTTAAGAGTCGGGCGGGCCCGCCTGGTTTAGTTGCGCTGATTCCCAAGTTCTTGTAGCTTGTTGTATGTGCACTCGGGGAAGACTTTTCGTGGCTCAGATTTGGCCCTTTCAACCATGGGCAAAGACCTAGGCTCAGAACGTGGTTCCTTCTGGGTGATGAAATGGCTTGCCCCAGGCTTGTTAAAGTTTGGATGAGTCAGTGCGTTCACTTACTAGCTAATTAGGCACGTTCCTGGGCGCATACTGTGCGCAGGCGCAATGCTAGAGGCTAAGTAGGTAGAATTAGGCTCCTGACCCCAATTTTCTCAATCAAGAGGTGAGCGTGAGTGTTGGAGGACCGGAGGGACTGTCACCCAGTAATCACCGTATCTTAATACTTTTAAACCATATCAGTACGTGATTAGGCATCGTGGGAAGCACCATGAGGCTAAGTAAAGAGAGTTATGAGAAATTAATGGGACCCTGGTGTCTGCAGAGGAGCAAGGAGGGTTGGAGCCTTCTTGGGCGGATTGAGTTTGTGCATTGTGAGAGTGAAGAGGTCTTGTTCCAGAAGGGTGTGGGGATGAACAAGGAATATGACAGGTACCTTGGTCGTAAGTTTGGATTTTTGTCTTGAGCATGGGAAGCTATTTTCTTCGGGGAAATGAAAAGGAATTTGGGTCTCTCCAAGGCCGCTGGCTTTCAGGATTAGAAAATATGGAGGCTCGACTCGGGATGAGAGACCTGCTAAGCAATCTGAACAGCTTTCCAGACACAAAGTTACCGTGACTCAGACAGGGAGCTAGAAGAGATCCTATCAGACTGGATGTGGGTCAACAGTGAGGCACAGGCATTGGTCCTAACTACGAAGGGGTGAGGAGCTCTTGGCCAAAGTAGAAAAACCTGAAGAAAGACAGACTGCAGGGGACAGTCAGGAGTGTGACTGAGAAGTTGTAGCTGTAGCTAGACCGGCTGCTGGGGCTTCCGCGGCAAGTGGGTCATGGTGTTGGTGAGAAGTCAGGGGATGGAAGGAAGGAAGGAAAGTGGGCAATGATGGTCTAGGGAGGAGCCACGAAAAGAGCTGGAGAAACGGGGATGCAGTGAGCAGACTTGACTGTCTCGACGGCCACAGTCTGGTCTGTAAAGCAGGAATTCAGTTAGGAAGAAATACTCTGTGGGGCTGGCGGCTGCTGACTCCTGTGGGAGACAAAGGACACCTTGGGTTTGGGAATGAGATGGGTTTGTAGCCTGTGTTCTTTATGTTGCAAGTTTATATATATTTATAGATAGATAGATAGATAGTAAATTACTGTCTTAAAAAGGAAATGGGCGGCAGATGGAGCTGCTCAGCAGTGTCACGGAGGACATGGGTTTGTTCCATCTCTCTGTTGTCCTTCAGGTGCTTTCATGCTCATAAGATGCCTATCCTAGTTCCAAGTGTCCCGTCGGAGCTAAGACAATGTTCATTCTTCTCTTAGTTGAGACCACAGCAGGCCTATGACCTCTTGTTTAGTTGCTTATGAGCCCATAATGATCAGTGTACCTGTCCCTGGTACTCCTGTCATCAACAGAAGGAAACCGCAAGCCAGGAAGCTCTTGATTGGATGAGGAGAGGACTGCCAGGGGCAGGGCAACTAACATTCCCGTGTACGGCTGGTGGTGCAACCCCTCGAGAACACTCAGCGTCTCCTGGTTCTCATCACACCCCTGTGCTGTGCCAAGAGTCTCCACTCCCGTGGACCGTCTGGGGCTCCCTGGAGACCTGTGCAGTGTCCATCCAGAGGAGAATGGACTCTCCATGGTGTGGTGCTCAGTCTGTGGGATACATTTGGCACTTGCTAGCCATAACTTCTGCATGGGAGGTTCAAAATGTTTCTAAAACATTTGGAAGGAAACATTGCATCGGTACTAAATATATATATATATATATATAATTGCTTATGTAGCTTGGAGGTTTTAGCTCAGCCATCTAGAGCTGGGATGAACTTCATGAGAGGGTATGTGTAGGTTATGTGTAAATGCTGCACCATTTTATTCGAGAGACTTGAGCATCCTCGTTATTCAGGGTCTTTGGAACCAATCTCCTCTGACTTTTGAGAGACATGTGTATTTTACACATAAATGTAACTACTGGCACATGAAACACTACAGATTATTCTGACGTACAGGGTGTGGGTTAATAGGAGCCGGGGCCCAAACCAGTGCAAAGAGCATGATCCCATTGTTCTAGTTCAAGGGCAGGTGAACCTGATCTGTGGTGATAGCAGTCAAATTCGTGGTTTCAGGGGGTCTGGAGAGGAAGGGAAGGTGCAAAGACTTACTTCAGGTAGGGGAAACTCCTGTCAACTTGGTCCTAAAGCCAGGGAACTTTATATAAGTTATTCCTCAAGAAAAAAAATAGGAAAGGAACATTTTAAAAGACCCCAAACAAGGGTCAGGAAGTATGTTTCTGGTACTTTTGTGGCAGGTCTGGGCATTGGCAAAGCCCTAGTGGTCAACTTTCTTATGGGAGCTCCGTAAATCTGGGGGCAGGTAGGGCTTCTGACCTCTGTTCACTGACCCGGTTCCTTCTGTCCTCAGGCTTTCTCCACTTGGAGTCCTTAGATTTTAAATGACCCAGAAGCCCTTTCTGCCCTAAAATTTGGCTAAGATGACCTTGACTTCCTGCCAAGGCCTCCCAAATAATTTCTACCAACTTGACACCCCACCAGGAATCCTGTTCTCATCTCTGCACCCTCCAAAACTGTCCTTTCCATCGGGACCCCTGCTCCTTTTGTCTTCACTGCCAAAGTTTGGTCCTGGTCACCACCCTTCCTCCCTGGGGCCTGTACTGGTCTCTCTGTTCTGACTCCTGTCAAACCCAGCACAGTCCTTGGGACGGCTAGCTTTGTCCACGTGACCTAGAATCACCTGGAGAGAACCCCAGTGAGGGACTATTTAGATCAGGTTGGCCTATAGTCAGGTCTGTGGTCTCAAATGCCTTAATGAGTGTGGGAAGACCTGGCAGCACCATTCCCTCGTTTTGGAGCCTGGACCGTGTAAGTGGAGAAAGCTAGGTCAACACTAGACTTGTGTGCATTCATTTCTCTCTGCCCGTGACCGTGGATGTGGTGTGACTCGCTGCTTCAAGCTCTTGTTGCCTTGACTTCGCTGCAACATCAAACCATGGCCTGGAACTGTAAGGCACACCTCCCCTGAGTTGCTCTCTGTCGTTTTTTTTTGTTATTGTTTTGGTTTGTCTGTTTTAATCATAGCATAGTGTTGGGGGGGGGGGTGGCAGGAGATGGCGTCCATAATGTCGGGAAGGCATGGTAGCATGGTCAGGAAGCTGAGAGATCACATCTCAACCACACATGGTAACAGAGAGCAAACTGGAAGTGTGGACAGGCTGTAAACTGTCAGCATCCATCCACCTTCAGTGAGGCACTTCCTCCAGCAAGGCTCCATGTCCTAAAAGGTCCAAAACTTCCCCCAAACAGTGCCATGTGGTTAACTACAGGAGCCTATGGAGATCTCTCTCATGAAAACCCAGCCGCAGGGCAGTTTGGAGCCCGCAGAAGGCAGCAGGTGGTGGATGGTGTGTAATATACATTATATTGGTAGGCTGTCACATGCTAAGAAGCTGGCTCTGAAAGTGGGTGCCCCCCTCCTCGATTCCGGACCCAAGTATGTTTCTGTTAGGTGTCTTCCAAGAGTCCTCGTCTGGAGACGGCCGGGTCCCTGTAACAGAACAGCCAAGCAGCCGGAGTCAAAACACTGTCCTGAGAACCGCTACAAGAGTAACTATTCCCTACATATGTTCCTATGTTTACCCCATGATGAAGAGAGTTCAGCCCACGAGAGAAATCACAGTTGGAACCCCCGCAGACTGCTTCCGCCTCCGGTCGCTTTCAGCTGGAAGTTTTGATGTCTAGCTGGATCTACTGTTTTTTTTTTTTGTTTGTTTGTTTGTTTCTTTCTTTTCCTTTTGCTATATTCTAAGGTGTATCCGAAAGCATGGCTATGGAAGGTCTTCTTCAGACCACCTCAAACACAATCAAAGACTAAGTTCCACACTTTCTTTTTTGTTGGTTGTTTTTCCTGGTTGGTTGAGACTGGCTTAGAAGTCACTGGATAGCCCAGGTTAGCCTCGTACTCATGATCCTCCTGCCTCAGCCTCCTGAGGGCTACCCTACTTAGCTGGTAACTAGAGTCATAGAAATCAGTCAGGGGTGCATTGCAGGTTTAGGGTGCAGGGACTAATCCTCAGGGAATTTATGTCGCAGGTGGGAGACCAGTGTGTAAAATCTGGATGCCTGCCTCCCGACACCAACCCAGCACTGCACAATTCTGGTTTCTGAAAGTTAGCATGGCTTTCTTCCCAAGAACTAGATCCAGGAAATTGGACCTGTAGTTTCCGGAACAATTAACATTAAAGGCACCAAAGAAGCTATGAGATATCAACTGATTTAAAATGTAGCCAGAAATTTTACCAAGGTGATTACAGAAATACCTAAGTTCTGGAAAAAAAGACAGCCACTCGAGTGCAGTGTGGTGTGTGGTGTGCTGACCAGCTGTGTACCTCAAACACACTCATAACACCTGTGTGACTTATTTTCCCGCCTCTAAAGTGGGCAAGGAAACATTAGCCTTAGCTGATACAGCTTTGGTGGGGACTCTGAGTTCTTATTACAAAGTTCTTAGAATAGTGTCTGTCACCTGTTACCATTAAGGATCGTGGAGCTCGTCCCTATGGTTGGCTGCCTTGTGGAAGCCCAGCAAAGAAGGACTGTTTTAAGTCTGCTCTCTGCTGCTGTCGGAGTACCTGAGACTCTGACTTAGGAAAGAAAAGAGGTTTATCTGGCCCGTGGATCTGGAGGCTGGCAAGTTCCAGAGCATGGTGCTGGCATTTCTTGGCGTGTGGGAAGATCCTTCTTCCTGGATAATAATGAGGGGCGAAGGCATTATTGTGGGTAGGGGGGGAACTTAGTTAGACAGGGTTTCTTTTCCTGTTCTTAGCCAGAAATGGCACAATCTCATTTGAGTTTAGTGACTTCCCCAAAGCTAAGTCCCATGAATTCACCAGATAACTTTTGAGCGTGGCGATTAGGTTTTGTCCACAAGTGACCTTTAGGGACATATATTCAAACCATTCAACTCCAGATGCCCCTCCCAGAGCTGGCCTCTGCTTTCCCTGCAGAGAGGCCCCTTTGCTCAATCTTAGGGCTCTCTGCTTGGGAAGCAAGAAGTTATTTTAGCCAAGTCTGTGGTGACACCTAGTGGTATAGTGCAGAACTGCCTGATTTTTAAAACTTCCACTCCCTTTAGCTGTTACTGTGTTCCAGACACTTACATGAAATTTGTAGCTAACTTTCATCATGACCCTGTAACATATAGACTATTATTATTTATATTACACATGATGAAATGGACTCATGAAGGGGGATCCATTGGCTGGGTCTGCACAGCTACAGGTGTGGTTAGATTTGAATTCAGGCCATATGGGCTTGAAGTCTAAATCCCCAGACTCTAGTTCCTCTATGCCAGACCCTTTGGAGAACATGGAAGTTCATATCTCTGTAACACGAATTTTAAAAAGTCTTATTAATAGGAAACTCTCAGAGCCAGATATTGGGGGTAAATTCTGAAAGACCAGAGAAACAGAACAAGCCACAGCCAACCTCACCTCACCAACTCCTGATCTTGTTTCCTCAGATTGAAAACCTCTGAGTCCTCTCTGGATCTCAGATGAACTGCTGCTAAAAAGCCTCTAGTTCCTGGTCCTCACACCTTATATACCTTTCTGCTTCCTGCCATCACTTCCTGGGATTAAAGGCGTGTGTGCTTCCCAAGCAAAGATGTGAGACCACAAGTGCTGGGATTAAAGGTGTGTGCCACCACCGTCTGGCCTCTATGTCTAATCTAGTGGCTGGCTGTCTCTGATCCCCAGATAAGTTATTAGGGTGCACAATATATTGGGGGACACAATATATCACTACATACCCCTGCCCTCAGGCAGAACATAAATATACAATCTGTGGAAGGAGTAGGGAGGTGGGAGAGGAGAGAGCTAAGAACTAACGACCTGCCATGAGCTTGCAAAGATCTTGTTGAGGTGGGAATACCCGCCCACTGTGAGTGGCACCAGTCCCTGGCTGGGATCCTGGCCTGAGTAAATGAAGAAAGGGAGGGGTTGGGGATTTAGCTCAGTGGTAGAGCGCTTGCCTAGCAAGGCCCTGGGTTCGGTCCTCAGCTCCGGGGGGTGGGGGGGTGGGGATGAAGAAAGTGAGCTAGCTGGAGACAGCCTGTGTTCACCCTCATGTGTCCTGATGTGATGTGATGTGACCTGGTTCTTGAGGCCTTATCAAGGCCTGTCAGATGGACTGTGCCCTTAAACTTGAGCCAAAATAAACCTTTCTCCCTTATGTTGCTTTGGTCAGAATATTTGTTCTTTTAAAAAATATATTATTTGTGTTTGTGTGTGTCGGGGGCGGGGGCGGCAACGGATGGACATGTGTGTGAGTGTGCAAGCTTGTGCACACACTCAGACTGGGAGAAGGCACCAGATGTCTTCTCTCACTCTCCACCTAGTCTGTCGGTCCCAGGGTTCCCCCGTGGGAACGGATGGGCTTCCTAGGTGTGTCAGGAAGGAAGTCTTGGAAGAAGGGAAGGTGAGAGCCAAGTCTCTGGTGGTCTCTTTTGTCATTAGTGTCCCTTCAGGGCCCCCACCATAGCCCAGGCTGGCCTCAGGTTTACCGTGTAGCCAAAGATGACCTTGACCTTTTGATTCTCCTACCCATCCATCCTGAGAACAGGTAGGTGCCACCATGGCTGGCACAGTATCATTTTGATTAAGGAACTGATTCTCAGTGTCCTCATCTATCAGAGAAGAGGGAGCCGGTCTCTCCACAGCTTCAGACTCATGCTGACTGTCTTGCTCCTTTCCTTGGTGTCTGCTGGTCTCACAGAGCCGAAGCCAAGAGGAGATCCTTCCCAACCGCCTCACCTAGCCGCCCACACCGCTCTCCCTCCCTGGTGTCTGGGTCCGTTCGGTCTCTCTATTGGCGTAGGTGAAACACCTTTAGTTGCCCTTGTCCCGCCCCCCCCCTCCACTTCTTGTCCATGTCTGTGGAAGCCCACAGCCCACCGCTGACACTCAGCCGGGGAGCCTGTGCAGAGACCTCTCACTGCCTCCGTGTTCCCAGCAGCACCGCCAAGATGCAGAAGCTAGGGTAGTTTGTTAAAAAAATCAGATCATTGAGGGCCGGAGAGATGGCTCAGAGGTTAAGAGCACTGGCTGCTCTTCCAGAGGTCCTGAGTTCAATTCCCAGCAACCATATGGTGGCTCACAACCATCTGTAATGAGATCTGGTGCCCTCTTCTGGACTGCTGTCATACATGCTGTATATATAACAAATAAATAAATCTTTTTAAAAAAATCAGATCATTGAACTCTTCAGTGTCCCTCCCTTCCAGAGGCCAGTCCTGCTATTATAAAATAGCCTACAAGCTGGCTCCCAGCCACCGCCACCCCACTTCCCACCCCACCTGGTTCTGTTACTTGCTGGATTCCGGACATGCTTCTCATAGTAATGTGCAGCGGCTGTTCCTTCTCTGGGAATGCTCTTCCCACGGACACGGACACAGCCCCCCTACACAGTCTGTAGGTTTTGCTCAAATATGATCTGTTGAATAAAGTTGACCTTGACCCTCCTTTCTGGCCTCCCCTGACACCCACACCCTCTCTCCTTTCTCCATTTCAGCCTGGTAACATTTTATGTAATTAGTTTATTTATTCTGCTGTTAATCATCTGTCCCCACCTAGGATAAGTTCCGGGTTAGCAGGGGCATTTTCCTGTTGTAATCATGGATGTAACTCCTGTTTCTAGAAGAGTGTCTTGTGAAATAACAGGTACTCAGAAAATATTGAATGAATGAATGAATGAATGAATGAATGAATGAATGAAGCATCGTGTGAGGAACACTTCTCCTTGCTGAAGATTACTTTTTACTTACTTATCTTCTAGGTTTTATTTATTTTTATTTCATGTGTGTGCGTGTTTTGCCTACACCAGTACACCATAGAGGCCAGGGTAGGGCATACAGTCCTCTGGAACCAGAGTTACAGATTGTTATGAGCCACCATGTGAGTGCTGGGAATTAAAGCCAGGTTCTTAGGAAGAGCAGCCAACGCTCCTAACTGCTACGCTGTGGCTCCAACCCCTCCTTGCTGGAGTTTAAACAGATTGGAAAGCTATGACCATCTGTTGCCTTTATTGTGTAGAACTTCCTTGGTGTTCAAGGCAGTCAAGGCGCTGGAGCAGGCGCTCATCCGGGCTGATCCTCGGCTCTTCCCTCGTTCCTGGAAGCTGATGTTCTAAGACAAGACACAAGAGCCTCCACCTTCCAGCCGGTGAGCGCAGCTGAGCCACCTTGCCCTCCCCAGCAGCGCAGGACATCTCTGCATCCTCACAGACTTGGTGTGAGCACTGTTTATTCTAGTCACATCAGCAGGTGCAGCATTGCACCAGGGTCTTGGCTGCATCCTCCCAATGGCCATGAAGCAGGGACCATCTTCTCATATATTTAATTATCATTTGTTAATTTCTCCATGAAATGTCTGGGTTTTGTCTCTTTCCAAAGAAATAGTTACATTAATAATCTATAAATGAATTAGTAAAAAAAAATTATTAGTAGTAATTATAACAACAATTGGAGGTGTTTTTTTTTTTTTAATTCTGCTTAGCCAGGTGGTGGTGACATACACCCAGCACTCAGGAGGCAGAGGCAGGTGCCAGATCTCTGTGAGTTCGAGACCAGCCTGGTCTACAAAGAGAGTTCCCGGACAGCCAGAGCTGTTACACAGAGAAACCCTATCTTGAAAAACAAACAAAACAAAAAATTCTGCTTCTGTAACTGCAACAGAACATGAAACACTTAACAATGAATCTACCAAAAGGTATCCTAGGGCTGGCAAGATGGCCTAGAGAGCAAAAGCATTTGCCACAAAAGCCTGATGACCTGGGTTCAATTCCCAGGACCTACAGGTTGAAGGAGAGAACATGACTTCCTCATGTGTGC